AAGGAATCATGGGACAAACCTCCCTCTTCCTTACAAATTTTCAGACGTGTCGAAAATCATTATAAGACCCAAGGTACGATACTACGTTTCTCACCAAACATCCGACACCAAACTCCATAATAGTAGAGTCAATCAAGAGTCCAAAATAAATTCTCAATTGCACCTACAAATAAAGAAAGTAGAAAATTAGATGTTCTCAGCAGGAGGCTCTATTCTCTCACCTCATTCTTGATGCGAGTTGCCAATTATCAAGCCGTGATGAGAGCTTACCATAGGCAACTATGGAATAAAATTCTCCCAGTACTTCAAATGGCCCTGGAATCATCTAAGACAAAAGCCTTTAACATCCATGCTGAGGCTTCTACACTCTCCAAACAGCAGAGGATTGCATCGCGTCATACCGTTGATGCCACCTCTAAAGCTATGGCCAATTCTATCGCACTCCAGCTTCATGCATGGCTTAGATCTCCTGGCATATCGGATGATACCAGATCTAGAATAGAGTATCTACTTTTTGACGGAGCTGGACTTTTCCATGAAAAAACGGACAAGGTGATGGACAACCTCCATAAGATCCGTAAAACTGCTCGGTCCTACTCTGCCCAGCAGACATACAAATACCAGAGGCCCCAGTATCGAAGACAACCTTTTTACCAACAACAATACCAACAATTGCAACAACCATACAGACCATACAAACCTCAAACATCGGACAGGCGCTTTCAAGGACCTTCAACCTCAGCTCCATCTTCCTTTCGAACCCAACAACAGCAACCATGCCACCAACCCTTTCGGCGTACACAAAAGAAGGGTAAGCAAAACCCATAGACTCCCTTCACTTACTTTCAATTCTTCAACCCTGTTCCAAACAAGATTGCTTCCCTTCCTTAATGCTTGACAATGTATAATTAATGACCAATGGGTCCTTTCCATCATTAAAAACGGTTACTTCATTGAATTCAAAACTATCCCACCAATTGGAAACATTTAAAAATACCCCTTATTCGACAGTCCTTCAAGAAGACGTTTCCCTTCTTCTCCAAAAACAAGCCATAACCACTGTCCTTCCTTCTGTCCTGCATGATGTTTTTTTTACTCCAGATATTTAACAATTAAAAACTTTGCTCTTTAGGCAGGCCTTCCCTCCTGCCAATTCTTGATTGTACTGTCTTGCGTTTGTTGTTTATTCTCCCATCTTGATCATATTATTATTGTATATTTTAATTGTTGTTTTAGTTGTTTGAGCACAATATGTTGTGAGCCGCCCTGAGTAGACTCCTGTCTAGAAGGGTAATTAATAAATAAAACAAACAAATAAATAAATAACTACCGAAAAAGGATGGAGGACGCCGTCCCATCCTCAGCCTCAGAAATCTCAATAAATTCATCTGACCTATATGCTTCAGAATGTTGACATTAGACACTATCATTCCTCTCCTTTCACAGGGAGACTGATTTGTTGTCATTGATTTTCAAGGTGCATACTTTCACATCTCTATTCACCCGAATCACCACAAATTCCTTTGATTCCAATTCGATGACACCATATACCAGTTCTGTTCTCTCCCATTCGGACTTTCGAGAGCACTGAGGACTTTTACCAAATGCATGGCACCAGTCACTGCCTACCTTCGACTCCAAGGTATCAATATATTCCCTTCTGTAGACGACTGGTTGATGGACTCAGCCTTGTATCACTATGCCGACAGAGCTATCCAACTCACTCTCGATACTCTTTGAGACCTCAGCCTCAAGGTGAATCTTGCCAAGTAACATCTCGAGCCGTCTCAAAACACTACCTATATTGGAGTGTACTTCGATTCCCTACAAGCCAGAGCTTTCCTCCCCACATGAGAGAATCCTCAAACTAAAAAAGGCTATTCAACCATTCTGGCCTCTAGCCTCGGTGTCAGCCCATCATGTCCAACACCTCCGTGGACTCATGGCCTCGACAACCGCAGTTATACAGCACGCACGGCTCAAGATGAGGTTGCTTCAGTCATGGTACCTGTCAATATTCGATCCCATGATGGACCACCCACCTGTGTGTCTAGCAGTAGCACCCAAGCTTGCACATCAACTCACCTGGTGGACATTTCTCCCGAATTTGCTCGTCGGGAAACCCTTCTTGCCTCTCCAACCGACGATACAAGTTGCCACCTACGCCAGTTCATTGGGATGGGGAGCACATTGTCGGCATCACAGGATCCATGGCCTATGGACAAATCAAGAGAAAACATTACACATCAATCCCCTCAAACCCTTAGCAATTATCAAGGCTTTCCACACTTTCCTACCACTCATTGAGGGATGTGCAGTCCAACTTGCTATGGACAATACGATGGCCACCATCCAGACATATTCTCTCTGAACTTGATGGGTGGAGGATACTCCTGCCATAAAGGATGTACTTGATTGGGCTCAAAGGCCCTCAACCCAGCTTCTATACCAAAACAAATTGAAAGCATTTCTTTCCTTTACTGATTCTCAGAACTTACCTGCAACACCAGTCTCTTTGAAGACTTTACTTACCTTTATCCTTCATCTCTTCAATTTTGGATTATCTCATTCCACCTTGAAATTTTATATCTCTGCTATTGTAATTTTGAATCGGCCAGACTGTTTCCTCATCCAACTTTGAAAACATTTCTCAAGGTACTCAACAATATTCACCCCCCACATCAACTTCTTATCCCTCAGTGGTTTTTACAACTCATCCTCAATACACTTACTCGACCACCCTTTAAACCAATGGCCACCTGTGATCTTAAACGACTTTCCTTGAAAACATCTTTCCTCATGGCAAAAACATCTACTAAGCGGGCTAGCAAACTTGCAGCCCTCCGATCCGATCCACCCTTCCTTCAGTTCCATCCAGATAACGTCACTCTTTATTTTGATGTGTCCTTCTTACCTAAAGTTGTATCAGAATTTCACCTCAACTGATAATTCTACTTAACCCATTTCTATCTCCGTCAACACCTCTCTACCGCATGCTTCATACACTTGATGTAAGACACTCCCTGGCCTTTTACATTGACAGGACCAAATTATTCAGAAAATCAGAGACTTTTTCTATGTTTTCACAATCCTCATAAAGGAGCTCCTGCTTCACCTCAATCTATTTCTAGATGGATTCTCATTGGCATGTGAGTTAACGGCAAAACACCTCCGGAACATTTAACGGCCCATTCTATCAAAGCACTGTCAACATCTACTGCCTTCCGTGTAGGATTGAACTCCCTCACATCTGCTGTGTAGCGACATGGTCTACTCCATCAACCTTTGTCAGACATTACTGTCTCAACGTCAGGACACGGAATGATGCTGGTTTTGGCAGAGCTGTTTTGTCATCCTTTCTACCGTGACGTCCTACCATCCAGTAAGTGAGCTTGCCAGTCACTCAATTGTGTACATTCACAGAGGCCACGAAGAAGAAAGAGAGGTTACCTACTTGTAACCATAGTTCTTCTAGTGGTCCTCTGTGAATCCACACATCCCGCCCGTCCTCCCCTCTGTCCATCATGTTGTACTTTTAAATAGCTCTTTGGCATTGGCAGACTTTTTACAGGAACTTAGGGGATCAGTGGTGGGTGGAGCATGTGCTCCACATGGGGAACGTTCCACTAATCATGTGTATTTAAGCTCTAGAAACTTGCGAGAGGTTCAGCGCAGATGTAGAACAACCCCATTGTGTGCATTCACAGAGTACCACTAGAAGAACTATGGTTACAGGTAGGTAACCTCTCTTTGTGTGTCCCAGATGTCTATAGGCTTATGAACACTAGAATGCTTTCCTTGTTGAATAAAGTGTATACCTTCTGCAGTTCCTTTGTGACCCCTATTTGTAAAGCACAGAAGAATTAACTCATCTTCTAGAGCACAAACATCCTCATTGACATTACTCCCTAGCCACAGCAATTTTAGTTTTTGCTAGTTTGCCAGTTTTCATCTGATTTTGTGCAGTAATAGTTTACAATTAAGAGAATTAGTCTAATATGATTGCATTGGAATAAGAGTACCTAAGTACTGTAAAAGAGTTTGTTGTAACCAGAGTACCAGCAGTGATTTGATGAACAGTTGCTTCTTGAGCCCTGAGATCTCTAGGGGTTTGTTGTAAGATGACTTCTTGAATCCTTGAACCTGCTGTTTTGCCAACATTATTTACAGTGTTGACAACCCTAATTCATTCTATGGAATTGTAACTGACATTGCTAAGTTCCCAGTGAGTGATTAGAGTAAACTTCCACAACTGTGGATGTGTACTCCTTTGCTATCCTCATCTTGTCTCTGGCTGTTCCAGAACTGAAGGAAAAACCAGTGCGGATAGTGGGCACTCTTGTTTTGTATTTCTCATGGTGTCATCATGGAGAATGGTGAAGAATCTGTACCATACTATACAGTGGTGCCCTGCTAGTCAATTACCTCGCAAAACAGTTTATTCGCTAGATGAGTTTTTGCAATTGCTATAGTGCTTCGCAAAATGGTGTTTCCTATGGGCGATTTTCGCTGGACAATGTTTCGGTCTGTGCTTCGCAAGACAGGTTTTTCCAGGACCGTTTTGTGCAAGATGACAATTTTGACAGCTAGGTCTGCGACTCGCAAAATGGGTGTTTTGGGGACCGTTTTTCGCAAGACAGTGATTTTGACAGCTGATCTGCGCTTCGCATAACGGTTTTCCTATGGGCGATTTTTGCAAAATGACAACGATTTTTCCCAGTTGGAAGGCATTAAATGGATTTCGGTGCATTCCAATGGGGAACCGCATTTCGCAAAACGATGTTTTCGCAAAACAGCGATTTTCGTGGAATGAATTAACATTGTCTTGCGGGCACCACTGTACAATGTATTCAGCCAAATAAGAGTTGCCTAGTTCCATTGCAGTTAAAAAAGCATGAAAGGTTTTGATACATCATGTATTACTATTGCAGTTTGAGTGTTTTTGTATTTTTTGTTTCCTATGTTTTGATGTATGTACTCCTTTTTGATTATTTATTTAGCCCTGGAATAAGATCTGATGTAAGCACTTCACCATCTACCTCTTCAACAACTACGGGACCACCTCCCAAGCTCTGCCTTGTTTGCTCAGATGAGGCTTCTGGGTGTCATTATGGTGTCCTAACTTGCGGCAGCTGCAAAGTATTCTTCAAAAGAGCTGTGGAAGGTAAGATACAATCTAATTATTTAAATGATTTGTTCAATTCCCACCTCAAATATTAAGATGCTGTTATATAGATAGTGGTCCCCAACCTTTTCCCAACCGTGGACCTGTCGGGGTGTGTGGCACACTTGCACAGGAGGCGTGACACACTCGCAGTGGTGTGGCATGCCTGCATGGGGATGTAGTGCGCTCGTTCACATGTGCATGGCAGTGCTCATGGGGTGCTCGTGCGCATGCACAGGGGTGTAGCACGCTCACGTGCATGGGCATGGCTGCGCTCACGGGGCATAGCACGCATTCGCATGGCAGTGCTCGCAGGGGTCACGAGATCTGTCCCTGCGGCCCGGTCCTGCCTCGGCCATGGACCAGGGTTGGGGACCCCTTATATAGATCACTACAGTCAGCATCTGTCCTCCAACTTTCTTCTTACATCTACCTCTTAAAATAGTAATTGCTCAGACCCACCACCAGTCTAGACATTCACTTAGTTAACTAGTATCAATTAAGGGTAAAGGAGAAGAGAAAGTAGAGCAGTGTAGCATGTGGCATGTGGTTAGATTTTTTTTTAAGTACAGTAGTGCCTCGCTTGACAATGTTAATTTGTTCCAGCAAAATCGCTGTAGAGCGAAAACATTGTCAAACGAAATGAAAAAGCCAATTGAAATGCATTAAAACCCGGTTAATGCGTTCCAATGGGCTGAAACCTCACTGTCCAGCAAAGATCCTCCATAGGGGTGGCCATTTTCCATGCCTGTGCAGCAGGGAATCCATCCCTAAGCACAGTGGGGGGCCATTTTCTTCAGCAGGTGGCCATTTTGAAACCTGACGATCAGCTGTTTTTGATCGTCGTAAAGCGAAAATTGGTTCCCGAAGCAGGGAACTGATCATTGCTAAGCGAAATTCCCCCATTTAGACCATTGTTTTGCGATTACAATTGCAATTGCAAAAACCTCATCGTAAAGTGATTTCCTCGTTAAGTGGGGCACGACTGTAGATAAAAATGTCAAATCTGGCTATATAAAATGCATGTGGGTCTAGGAGAATGGTTGCCAGCTGTTGCTTTAGGACAGGGCATTGGTGAGGCCAAGGGCTCTTTTTTAGACTGGTTGACAGCACTCCCAAAGAGGCATAGAGAAAAGACCCTCTAATTTTCAGTTCCACTGAAAGGGGCTGAAAACAATCGCTGCACGGAGGAGGAGGAAAGCTGCACGGAGGGAGGCAGAGTCGCATGCACACTTGCACATGCCTTATAGGGAACCCCAGGTTCTTCATTTGTTTGGTTGTTTAATACGTGATAGCATTTAATCAGCATTTAATCTGTTAAATGGCGTCTGTACATATATACAGTTTTGTGCAAAATGTAAAACATTGTATAATATGTAAACAAATATATATAAGGAAACATGTTTGACTGAGTAGACATTATCAGTTGCCTTGAAAAGGCATCTCCAAATTTGCTGTTTAATAAAGGAACACTGTTTTTGCCAAAATGTCCTGTAGTTTCTGCCATCTAGGAAATACTTTCCCGGGTCATTTAGGAATTTGAGATACTTAATTGTATCCATGTGTACTTGGGAGTTCCATTTATGTAATTAGAGTTATTTCCCAGATGGTCTGGTTAGAATTGCAGCTTCAGTATCAAAAGATTTTTAATTGTTGATAAACTCTTGGGATTAACACATATTTTTTAGAAAAGTTATAACAGAAGAATTTGTGTGTCTGTGATAGGAATGTTATTGTCCTAAGTCCTTGTGCAAAAAAAGCTAAAAAATTGCATTTATTGCCCCAAGAAGCAGCCATTTAGATGTTCCGTATCAGACCACGTCCAAGGGAAAGCAAGGCTGACATGTAGTTCACCAGGATGCAAGGTCTGTTTGTGAGAATTGGGCTGGTGCACAATAGTAAAGTCTATTGTAGACTTAAATTACTACAGAACCTAAAATCATTGAAAAGAAAGGTCACCATTTTGATCTACATTCTCTTGCCTTGGCATGCAATCAACTAACCTCTTGCAATTGAGAGAAGGCTGAGGTTTCTTTTCTTTCCATGATCTGCTGGGAGCGGTAACCTACTTGCAAAGTTTGTTGGAATAGTAGGATTTGGTTTGGTTTTCTTTTTTCTAGGCACAAGGACAGAACCAAAACAAAATTCTCCCTCTCTTTTTTCATCTCAAGCTGGAGGCATAGCCAAAGCATGTAGGCTTGTTTCTACAACTGTTCAGAGCTCCTTATTGGTGCAGAGGTATAAAAAAACCAACATGCCTACAGTTTCACCTCCTTCAAAATGTAGCCATTGAGGCCTATGGTCTCTCTCTGTCTGCCTAGTATTTCAGATGTCTAGCAAGTGTAGAACCAAGGCAGGCCTACAGCTTCTTCCAGTTCTGACATGGTGGGGCAAGGGATCATTTTCACAGTGAATAGGGTTTTCTGAGGTGCAAGCTCCAAATAGTCTCTAACTGCAGCTGTGTATCATGGAAATTATCTTTTCACTCTATATCAGGTTATGTCTTTGAGATTAAAAACACTGGCTAGTCACAATTGGTTAGCCATGATTTTTGGATCATTTGTATTATTACACCAAGACCGGTATGTTAAAATAAATATATCAAAATATATTGCTTTTTATTGTCCTTCCTTGTATTTAATGCTATTGTGTACTTTGACATGGAAATAATCTGCTTTAAAAGTTGTAGTTGAATTTAATTTGCTTCCAATATTTGCTTATACTTGGTACCATAAAAATTCCATTGGATTTAGTTTGCCCACGTTACAGGTTCCAAAAACCAAATAGTTTCCTCCATGTTTTTTTAAAGTAATAAAATCAATATATCATAAAGTACTATTTCAAAATTAGATTTCTCAGACTGACTTTGCTGGCAACTTCCTTGATGTGCTACCAACTATTTGTGACCTGAAATTTATCTTCAAATGCTATACTATTTGTATAGTTACAAAGGTTTGTTCTATGTACAAAGCTTTGTCCTTTTCCTGCTTAACTAGGTAAGAGTTGGGTTACTGAATAGTCTTTCTAAAGAGTGTGTCTTCTTTTTCACCATCTAAAGAATCATTCATAGAATTGTATGGCAAACCTCCAACAACTGGATAGCATCTTGGCAAATAATCATGTCCACTGGCCAAAAGTCTTGTGAGAAGTTGAATTACTGTACATTAATTAAGTTAAGCTACCAGACAATCCTGGAGTGGATTTTTAGGAGAGGGAAGTACAACATTCAACACATCTTTCCTGCCTGTATGTGCCATTACCCATCTGCATCCGCCCACAAGTCCCTGCACTAATTTTGGATTTGTTATTTAAATTTGTGAACAAGAATTCCTTCTCTTGGATAATCCCTATCACCAACCAACCAGTGTTTCCTCTTGCATTACTGCTATGTCATTGCAAAGCTAAGGATTTAATTCATAGTGTCCTTTTAAGAATAAGAATGTTTTGATGCAACATAGCCTTGTTTCCTTCAGGGACACCACGTAAGCCAAGTGTCATAACATAGACTGCCATTATATGGGGATATCATATCGTATGACTGCTGTGCATAAACTAATAAGCATGATTTTTGAAGCACAGATGAGTAAAATGTAAAATAAAATGTAAGAATAATGTTTAAAGCTGTTTTGTCCATATGTAATTATAGGTCTTTATTTTATTTTTCTTTATACAGTGGTGCCTCGCACAACGATTGCTTCATACAACGATGAATTCACACAGCGATGGGTTTTTTTGAGGAATTTCCCCCATCGTTTAACGATGTTCTCTATGGGGGAATTTCACTTAACGATGTCCCTTTTTGCTCATTTAAAAGTGTCTTAAAATGTTTGAAACCTGTTTTAAATGCTTGGATTCCATAGTGCACCTTGTGAAACATGTGCAAACTTAATTT